TCTTCCGCGTCCTGCTCCTCAGGTACTCCTCTAACTGTTTCACGTGTGCCCATCGCCAGTAGATGTCATCGTCGTCGCCGTCCACCATGAAAGCCAAGGAGTTTGTTGTTGTTCATCCCCGATAGCCCTGCTGCCTACCGTCGGAGTTGCGTTTTTCCCTCGTGGAGGGAGCAGTCATAGGGCGTGGTACGCATACATATGGATGCTTGAACATTACACTTAAACTGGGACAAATGTCGGATGCAGCAGCAAGGTCGTCTCGTACGGGGGTAAGAAAAACAATTACCACGACGCTCTGCTGCTGTGCGCACAATCCTTGATCCCCCTTCCCTGTCCCTCCTTCCTTCCTTCCTTCCCTCCCTCCCCATTCTTTCGTGGTCGATGCATGCGATCATTTTGTGTTTTCATACATGCCTCTTGTGATTTGTGTCTGTTGAATTTTGAGTCCTCACGACGCCCATCGCTTTTTTTTGTCGTCGCTATGATATGTGTCCGTTGAATTTCGATTCCTCGTTACGCCCACCGTTTGTTTTTTTTTGTCGTCGCCGTTGTTCTCTCATCATGGGGTGCTGCCTCCAGACGAAGGACAACGTGTTCGTAACGGCGGTCGTGTCCGTTCAGTACCAGCCCATTAAGTCGAAGGTTAGTGAAGTAGTTAATGTGTGGAGTTCGACCTTGCGGTTCTTGTGGCCGTCCTGCGGTCTTTCCGTCCCGGTTTTGTAACGGGTGTACGGTAATCAACAGCCGGGAATACGCAAGGAGTGTGGGTTTGATTCATGCCCTACTTTGCGCTTGTTCTGTCGTCCTACGGTTAAGTAGATTTTGACACACTGGCAGGGGGTGATTCATTTTTGTTTTTTTTTCATTCTCTTAATTTCCAGTTGTAAATTATCCCCCTAGGGCACGTGTTTCGGTTCTGAAGACCGGAGATAAGTGTGCTGTGTGGCAGCTGAAGATCCGGCGCCTCCTTTCCCACCGCACGGCCTTGTGCTCAACGCTTTTGAGATGCACGCAAGTCACGGTGCCCCCCTATCGCCGCTGTTTGTGGTACCACCGCTTTATATACAAATACGGTTTGAAGGGTGTAACCGCCCTTCGCTAAACGTCGTTTGTCCGGACTTTGCTTTTGTCGTTCATCCTCTTGGCGTCTCTTCGTCGTCGACACGACACGTCGAAACGAAACGATACACCAGATCTACGACGCGTTCTACAGGCTCACCGACCCGAAGGCGCAGATCCGTTCCTACGTGTACGACGTGGTCAGAAGTGAGTGTGTGCTGCGCGTTGATTTTGATACCTTGCCAAAACTTTTTTTGTTTTTCGTCGCAACCCTATCTACGTGCAGCGATCGGCCGCCTTCGCCATGTTTGCAGCAATTGGAAGGTTGGGGGCGGGGCTCCTCGTCCGGCTTTCCGTTGGCTGTGGTACGGCATTCCCATTGACTTTTCATGTCTTGTGGTGCTGGTTAGGGGCTGGGGGGCACATGCAATGCTCTCGTGGTGGCGTATTTGTGTCACCTGTCCTCGTCGCGACGAAAGATACAAGATCGACTGATATCTGTTCGCCGGCCGCGTTGTATTGTGAACTAAGTGGCCTCTGTTGCGCGCGGGGTCTTGTCTTTCGAACGTGTGGCACCCACAGGCTCCGCTTCTCGATCGAAAGAGTGCCTGCGGCGCGGTACGCGCTTTGAGGGGTGTCGTCGACAAAGTGCATTTGTTGTATGCGCGTAGGTGATCGTCGGTGTTGCGAGTTTCTGAAAAGATGCTTGCGCACAGTCGTTCGGTGTGTCGGGGGTTACACTCACTTGGCAGTTTCGTTCCTTATTCGTGGTGTTGCTTATTTTCTTCACGCACGCCCTCGTCCAATTCTTCTGACGCCCGCGTTCGTCTGCCGTGGCTTGCTTTTTGTTTTTTGGTTGCCGTCCGGCGAATCGTCATGTGTTGCGCCATGTGTTCCCTGACCATCCCGTGCCACCAGGTACCCTGCCTAAGTTGGACCTTGACCAGGCGTTCGACTCGAAAGAGGTATGCACTCTCGCTGGCTTGATGTGTATATCGCGGCCCCCCTAGAAAGATTGGCAATATGGAGAGGGCGGTGGCGTGTAGCATAGCAATTGATGGGATCATATGACGATGTGTTTGAGGACTGCTGCTACTGTGGCCACGCCGTTTGCTTTTTCCTTCCAAGTAGCGGTCTTTGATATATAGCGGGCGTTTTGACAGCTCTTGTGGCTGCTCGCCGCCATGCGCTTGAACAGGGCTAGACTTGTTTGTGCGCCGTCTCTCTTCCTTTTTCCGTTCATGTGCGTGTGTGTGTGTGTGTTTTCGTCCTACTATTTACTATGGCTTCATGTACAAACCATTTGTGCATGTGTACGTACATGACTGCATAGTGTCTACATACACATCAAGTGGCGGCATTGTTTGCGACCTGCGACTACATTATACCGTGCTTCAAGGACCTGCTTGCTGGAAGAGGCCACGAGATCGCACGCTCTTGCTTGCTTGCTTCATGACGGCCAAAAACGACCACGCGTGATGACGGCGCACCACGCTTCATGTCGGTGAAAATGAAACGAATCATTTCTTCGGTGAAGACATTTTTGTTTCCCTCATACTGGTTTCTTTCAAAAACGCTTGGTGGTGTTCATGTTGGGACGGAACAGGACATTGCCATCGCGGTGAAGAACCAGCTGGAGGAGGTGATGCAGGAGTACGGTTACCAGATCCTCCAGGCCCTGGTGACCGACATGGACCCGGATGCCCGCGTGAAAGGGGCCATGAACGAGATCAACGCCTCCAAGCGGCTGAGAGAGGCGGCCACCAACAAGGCTGAGGCCGACAAGATCATGCAGGTGCTGTTTAGGCGTTTGTTTTTTGGCTCGCTTGCCACGAAGTGCTATTAATAGACAGGTTTGCGGTTGGGGTGAGAGGGACAAGATCATGCAGGTGTTGTTCAGACGCACATCGACGTTGTTTTTTTTTTTTCTCTTACCACAAAGTGCTGGACTGCTGTATGTGGTTGGGTTCTGCGGGTGGGTGTGGTGATTACAAGCGCAACTCGTGTTTGGGGCTGGCGGATACATCGGCCCGCTGACGTTCTTCGCGGACCCTGCCCGTTGGCTAGGGATGATTTCGATACGGGTGTTGACCAGCTGCAGGCAGCATTGACACCGATTATTTGCCTGTGATATTTTCAAGAGTGGCGCTATGCCTAGCGATCTTTTGAGTCGTTCATGTGAAATCATCTTTGTGGCTGCTACACACTTCTTTTTTCCCCCCAGCTAACCGGTGACGTCGATACTTCTGTCGCCGCTGCTCCTGGGCAGGAATAATTGCGTTTTTTCAGAAAATATGCACGCAATCAATGAAAGACTACATACAACTTGTTGAAGAGATGGATATAGACCCACGGCAGTCGAACTTTTTTTTCGTAAGGCTGACCCCCAAACGGCCGTGGCGTGTCCTCTCTTTCTTTCTTCCTTTTTTTGCGCACGCAGGTGAAGGCGGCTGAGGCAGAGGCAGAGTCCAAGTACCTGTCCGGCGTGGGTGTGTCCAGGCAGCGCAAGGCCATCGTGGACGGCCTCCGCGACTCCGTGCAGACCTTCTCCGAAACCATCGACGGTGGGTTTTGGGTCACGTTATTGGGGCACACAAGAGCTCGCACGCACGGGCGCTAGTAGAGCATGTTGGTCTGTTGACGCAGCTATTGGCGTCCGGGTGTGGGATTGGTGGCGTGGTGGTAGTAACCGTCCGCTTGGAAGAAGCGTCGTTCCCGTCATGTTGCGGTTTCATATCATCTTATTGTCGACTCGGTTTTCGTTCGGACCTGCGAAGGCCTTGTCTCTTGCTGTCTTGGTTTGTGGGCTATCTTGCGTAGCCTGCCCCAGGGGTTGGCATGCCGGATCGCCACACGCCAATAGTGTAAGAATGTAAGATGGGGACCGAGGAGTTGCGCCTAAACATGCGCCGTGGTGGTTGCGGGAAACACGCGCAAAATCGCTTCTCCCTTCGAATACGTGGGTTTTAGGTGCACAGGTTTTACAATATATGCTCATTGCTTTCGATTGACACGAACAAACGCCAGGAGGTTATTAATCCTCCGCCTCCTCCGCTTTGGCTTCGTCTTTTTTTTTGCGCTTTTTGGGCACGGACGATGACCGGAATTTTTCTGCCTGCTCGTCCTGCATGTCATTGCTGCAGGGACTTCGCCGAAGGACGTGATGGATCTGCTTCTCCTGACCCAGTACTTCGACATGCTCCGCGACGTGGGCCAGTCCTCTCGCGCGGCGACAGTGTTCCTCCCGCACGCGCCGCAGTCCGTGGCCTCCTTGCAGAGCGCCATGCGCGATGGCTTTATGCAGGTATGTATGCATACAATATGGAAGTACCTCTGCATGTTGAAAATCTACCGATATGAAAGACCTACAACGAAATTATCTATCTTTCCTATACGCTGCAGAACTGCTTTTGCGTAGCCCCCCCGGTCCGAACCGCGCTTCGGCGTGCAGGCAGACGAAGAAATTGTACGCGACGACGCAGACGGTGTGTAGGCTAGGCTGCTGTACCGCTCATACGCGCTGCTCAGCAAGCCTACTCGGGTTTTCATTAAAAAAGTGTACCAGGTACGTGTTGGATGGATCAAGTATGGGATCGGTGGAAACCCAGGGGTTAGTGTTTGGGTCTACGCAACCCCTCCCTCACTTCATTTCTTCACGTAGGCAGTCCTTGCTGCTCCTTCCGGGGGTCCCCTTGGACCGGTAAATGATGTGCCCCCCGGGTGAGACTGGCCGCGTGGCACCTTCATTATCGGTCAACCGGCACAGAAATAAGCGAGGTAGATGCGAAGGGAACACCTGCGGTGTCCAAAGCTTTTGGCCCAACGTTTGGAGGGGTGTGTGCCCTTCCTCCCCCGGTTGCCCTGATCGCCCCGTCGCCCCCTGCCCCCCCCTCATTTTTCGTTGTCTTCCCGTCCATGTTCGCATGCCTCCCTATCCAAAATCGTCGTCAGGGGCACGCCGGCAGCGAGGGTCTCGCTTCTGCGCAAATGATGAACCGCTAAGATTGGAACGCCCTGTTTCTTTCTATTATTCCCACTTAAATAAGTGTAGACCCCCCCCTTGGTTTCGGCGGTACTGTAGGAGGGCAGCAGTCGTTGGGGCTTTGGGGTCAGCGGGTGCGGTGTTTTTGCGACGGATGACTTTCGGCTCCTTTTTTTCTAACCATGAAAAGTCACTAAGTTGTCGTAGGTGTTGGCCCTTTGTTTCAACCAAGAAAACACGTGTAGCATGTTTTGGGGCTCACTTGTCGTTGGTTTGCCCATGTGGGAGTTTGGCTTTCAACTTGGCAACCGTTCGTTCGTTCTTCTTGTTGAGAGTGCACCGCTGCCGGAAGAGACGCACAGATGCTTTTGTAATCATTTTGCCTTGGCTTTTGTACTTCGTGGTCGTTGATGTTCTGTGTGGATGCATGCATTGATCTATTTTCTCACAGGAGGGCCAGAAATCTATTGTATGATACTGTCACCCGCCTGCCGGGCGCGTTTGTTTTTTTTGTGCCCAGCGCCAGGGCCCGTGCGTGTTCAATCGCAGCGATCGCAGGCAACGACGCTCAGTAGGTGTATCGAATAGGTCGGGCAACCCCGCGGCTGTTTCTTTTTTGGGGTGGCGATGTTGTACAGCAGAGGTATCTGTTTCGCGCCGGTTGAATAGTGCCCGTGCCCGGTATAGTGCCGGTGTTATCGGCGGGCGCACACTGAATTTCTGAGTCATTCTCAAAGTTTGAATATGCCGATGAGTTTTCTGTGGCGCATACTACGCAGGAACTCTACTTATTGCTATACGGTATCTCCTTTGCTTCGCCCGCCTCCCGTGTGTGTGTTTTTTTTTGAAAGTAGACATAACCTCACAGAAAGACTACCCGGTGTGTGTTTTTTTTTATTGTAAGCATCGACCGCGCTAACCGGCTGTGTGTGTATGTGTGTGCTTTTATTATTAGCATCGACCGCGCTAACCGGCTGACCAATGAAAAGACGTTAGTCTTAGTGCGGTTGAAAACACAAAACACTTGTATCTACCATGAACTGGGACCCCGTGAGGGGGCAGCATGGGGTGTGTGTGTGTGTGTGCTTTTATTATGAGCATCGACCGCGCTAACCGGCTGACCAATGAAAAGACGTCAGTCTCAGTGCGGCGGGAAACACAAAATGTTTCTATGTATGTGTTTATGTGTGTGTGTGCCGTTCTTTGGTGAATCGGCTCTCGCCGCTGAAACACTCAGCACTCCCTCGTGACCGCCGCGCAGGGAGTGTTCGGCTTTGACTGTGGCGGCGGGGGGTGGGAGGGGGGGGAGCTGCGGTGAGCAACGCGGTAGTACAGCTGCCGAGACCCCGACAGCTGACCAATAGGAGCAGCGTTTTCTGCCATTTTTTTCTCGTGTCCCAGGGTACTGATGGAAAACCTTATTCCAGATGTCAGGTCGCGACCCTGTTCAAAGTTTTTCTATATTTTCCACACACAGGTCGACCCTGTTACGTACGTTGTTGTTCCTATTATTTCCATTGGTCTAATGAGAAAAGCCGTTTCAGTCTCTGCTCAGAAGCACATTCTCTGTACCGTGATTAGTACGCGGACCCGGACGTCTTTGGGTGGTTATGACAGTAATCTATATGCTGACGGGTCGTAATGGCCCACGAAATACTTCCAAAGCAGTGTGGTTAAAATGTCGATGAGAACAACGAGAAAATCACTCGTGCACAATTGCTACACCCGACCACAGGAAAGATTTGTCTTTTTTGTGGTCGGGGAATGAAGACCGCGGGTCTGTTCGTTATTCCTACTCGAGATCGGCTCCTGGCCATTTTATTTCGTTGTTGTTCCAGCAAGGGAAAGGGGTAAGGGAGGGTCATGCATACTGCTGTGTACGACACGTGCGAACATATCTCTCTCCGAAAAACATCACCTCTCTCTTCTGCGCCCTCTGCTATGGTGTCGTTATCCGGCAAATGGGTTATCTGGATGAGGCAGGTGGACCTTGATCCTCAGAAATCCGTTGCGCTGAACATATTCTCCCAAGATTGCTCCATGATGAAGAGGACGTGGCAATGAAATGCTTCGTTTCCGGAAGGCTCTCGATAACACGGTGCTAGTACGGACTTTTTCGACGGCACACCATCGCTGTTTCGCTGCACAACTACCGAGCTTTGAGAGTGGGTGCAGGGGGTGGTATCTAACGTACCCCATGGGACTGTCATATACTTACGTATATATTTTTCACCTTTGGATCCTGGATTGGATATCCACGAGTGAGTAACGGACAACGGACGACAGATGCTTTCGTGCCATTCTCAGGCGGCGCAATATCTGAGAAGTCGTCGTTGCTTTGCACAGTGCACAGGCTACCCTACACAAATTCTCCATCGATCGACCCCTTGTTGTTGGTGCTCAAACAGCCGTGGACCGCACGCGTAGCGACTGGTCTACAGGTCCTGATTCTTCGTGAAAAGGTGTGTGCACTCGGCACAATCCAGTGCGGGGGGAAAGCAACGTATAGCAACCACGGCTCGCGTTCACGACACCGCTGGGTTTTCGAGGACCCCCCCCAGGTTAGTCTAATGAATTGCCTCCAGGGGTCGTGTAGATTCGATGGGATGATACCCAAGCTTGACGAGTCGAGCGAACTACGCTACATACACTCAAGCGGTTTGTCGGACAGCGGACATTGATTGGTAGCAGCTGGTGGTGGTTCCGTTTGCGAGAGGACGCATCGTTTGGTACCACTGTACAAATGAATGTAGCGCCAATTTGCAATCGAGGTGTGCAGGGCGTTGGCAACAAACAGAGCCGTTGCAGCAACTTTCCAACAACGGCATGTCTCTCATACCAGGATAATCTCTCGACAACGCAACTCGTTCATATGATATTATATGCGCACGTGTGACGCCAAACCCTTTTTCACGCGGATTGAACCTAAAAGAGCATCTAAGGATGAACGAGTCCAACCCCTCACTGTGGCCCTCGTTATCTAAGCGCGTCGTAAGTAGCAGCGACAGACAGATGCGCAGCCACGAAGCAACGCCAGACTTCATTCTTATGAACGACGAAAGTTATCGTGCAAAACATCGCTGTGTAACGACGAATGTATGTAGTGCTTTTTCCACCGGACCTGTAGCACCAGCAACCCAAGAACAAGTTCTACGTGTACATTCTCTGCGCTGATCTCCGCGATGGTGCAACTCTCTCTGGTTGTCCGCAGCGCGAACATGGCGTTCTGCTTCCAGTGTGTCTCGAACTCTGAGGTCGGCGTTGTCGAGCGGCTAGGGAAGTTCACCGGACTGGCCGCGCCGGGGTTGAACTGCATCCTGTGGCCAATCGATGTCGTGAGTACGCGCTTTCCTTTGTTTCCGTTGGCTGTGCTCCCCTCAGTAGCGTCCCGTGCGTCGTGAAAGAACTTGTTGGTTCTTGTCCGGTTTCACGACGACATCTGAGTCTCCGCCACCCCTCGTACCCCGTGCGATCTATCCAACTCATATCTTCACTGCAACAAACTACAGATTGTTGCCAAAATATCTACGCGTGTTCAGCAGCTCGATGTCCGCATGGAGACCAAGGTGCGTCGGGGAGCATAGGCACAAAGAAGAGTCTTCCACCACCCAATGATTTGGCGCGTGCCTGGACGCGAGCTTGTTCGGCATTTAGGTTTCGCGACGCGGGTTGTTTTGCGGACCACATGAAGTTCGAAATATTTTTGTCCGTCATTTGGTGAGAAGCGGACTTGGGTACATAGTCCAAGACAAGCCGACTAAATAGTGCCGGGGGAGAAACCAGATTTATTTTATGACACCTGGACTGGAGAAAGGTCCGTCGGGATAGAAGCTATGTAGATAAGCTTGCTCGTCCTTACCACACGCCCCGGTTCTCTCGTTTCGATTGATGGGCTGCTGCCGTATGGTGGCGAACAATGCCGTTTCACATCCACCCCCACGTGCTCCCATGGAATGTATCTACGCCACACGCTTTTGGGCCACGTTCGCCACCGAACATCGACGACGTCGTCTCTATTACCATCACCAGACGAAGGACAACGTGTTCGTAACGGCCGTCGTGTCCGTGCAGTACCAGCCCATCAAAGAAAAGGTCCGTAAAAAAAGCTACAATCACCTGCAACACACGCTGTGATTTTTTCCTTTCTCCGCGCAACGTTTCTCGAGGTCACGCGGGATGGCAAATAAGGGACCTACTGTACGTACTTCCACGTAGGCAGTACTTCCTCACCCTCGCATGTGTGTTGGTGGACTAAATGGACTATGTATGTACTCACGACACCAGACCATCATCAGATGGTCGAAAAAGTTCAGAGCCGCCCTTGCATGGATGATGAGGGCGTCGAGTGCTTACCATGAATGCCGCGTCGGTCGTCCTTTTCCCCATTTCGAAATCTTGCGATAATTCCGGAAGAAGACTCGCTTTTATCCCACTTGTTTCTACGTTCTTCCATGTCTTGGCTAATGCACATCAACCCATCCGTCCTGCTGAACCAACACGCCAGATATACGACGCATTCTATCGACTCACGGACCCTCAAGCGCAGATCCGCTCTTATGTCTTCGACGTCGTCAGAAGTGAGTTGGGTTGTTACATACCGCATAGTTTCCTGTCTTTCAAGAACGGTACATGACGAGTGACGATAGGATACAACTGAACATTGTTGACCTGCCGGACCCGACGCGATGCGGGCTATGAAAAAGTATTGTTTGGTGCGCTGGCCTGCGATGTGCAGCGGGGGGTCAGAGTAATGCCGGTCCATGCTGCTATCAGAGGCGAGGAAAAACGTTCTTCATCCAGTCAGTCAGGTTTTCGGCGTTTCGTTGAACGCTATTTATTTCGGTTCTGGCACCAGGTCATACTACATGTGTTTCCCGTGCGCTATCTCCGTCTGCCGTCCACCAAGTCGTTCACTCCGTGCATCTGCCTTTGTACCTATGTTTTATGTCTCGTATACGTTCTGCGGCTGTCGCTCCTTGGGTGACATGCCTCGATCCTGCGTCATCACTGCCGCCGGTAGATGATAACATTAACTAACCTCGATGTCGGTTGTGTTGTGGCGTGTGACAGGTACACTTCCCAAGCTCGATCTTGACCAGGCTTTCGATTCGAAAGAGGTATGTCTATGCCGATGTGTTGCGATGCGTGTTCTATAGTTATATTCGTTGTTGTTGTTTTGGTTGGTAGAATCAAGATGCCGCAATACGGCCGGCGGTCAAACACATGTTCAATTTTCGTTTGTATGAATATATAGCATACAGAGGAAACTTCACATCCACGTCGTGTTTGGCCGGATCGTTCGACCGCCTTTCGAAACTTGCAGGAATGACCTACCTTTGCTGATGGGAACACCCGGGCTTAGTTTCTTTCTCCTACGTTGGCGTCGCATGTAGTGGGCTGCAGTCGCATTCCACAACCGAAGAGGCGTTGTTCGTCCTTTTCTCGACCACGCCTCGCTCGTTCGCGCCTAAAAACAGGACATCGCCGTTGCGGTGAAGAACCAACTGGAGGAAGTGATGAAGGAGTACGGGTACATGATCCTGCAGGCCCTGGTGACCGACATGGACCCGGACCCCCGCGTGAAGGAAGCCATGAACGAGATCAACGCCTCCAAGCGGCTGAGAGAGGCGGCCACCAACAAGGCCGAGGCCGACAAGATCATGCAGGTTAAATAGATGTCTGTAGCTAGCAACATTTGGTGGACGCATCCTCCTGTGCGAGCAGCCTCGACCCTGGATGCCTGGCTGATTTGTTGTGCCCCGCTAAATCGTTTGTGAATGCGAGAGTTCAAGAATACGTAAACATGAATAACGTGTACGCACTTCGCTCAGTACCTTGTCCCCCCCCCCGGTCCCCCCCTCTGCAGCTGTTGTCCCTCCCACCCCCTTTCCTCCTGGTGAATCTCTAACATCGCTCGCTGTTTTTGCTTGGTGTACATACCCGGCCTTACCTGATACCCGTAGAAAACTCTTCACACGAAGTCGTCCCGTCTTCACTCCACTCTCTTGAAGCTCCCTTCACCCACTTCTGAAGTACGTATTTGCAATGCTTTAGGTGAACGTTGTTTCGGTAGGCCAACCGTGCAGTCGCCGACGTTGGCGCTAACGGGAAGAACTTCACCGTTGCACCGCCAACGACAACGCACCTGCAAATGATGGCGGTTGATACCCTGTGCAGATGGTGAACAACTGGTGTCATCGTACAGAGGCCCTGATTACGTGGTCGCTCCTGGTTTCATTATCGAGCAATGCAGGTTAAGGCGGCTGAGGCAGAAGCAGAGTCCAAGTACCTGTCCGGCGTGGGTGTGTCCAGGCAGCGCAAGGCTATCGTCGACGGCCTCCGCGACTCCGTGCAGAACTTCGCCGAAGCCATCGACGGTGCGAATGAACAGGGAGGAAGCACCAGCGATTTCGTGACTCTTTTTCGCGCCTCCGTTTCCGCCATGTCATTCTCGAAGTCGAAAATAATACGTTCAAATTGTTTTTGTCTGAATCAGGCCGAGCGCAGTGACGAATGGTCACCATCGTCTGAACCTTCAATCATCTGTGGAAGATGATGATGATGCAGGTTCCACTTTTCGCGAGCCTATCCTACGACGACTCCCTCCCTGATATCCGCACCATAGTAGATACCCCCAGGCGCACAACATATTACGGTTTTATCTTGTGGTGTTGTTTTGGTGCAATTTGTGATCGCCTTGCTGCAGGGACATCCCCGAAAGACGTGATGGATCTGCTTCTCCTGACCCAATATTTCGACATGCTCCGCGACGTGGGTCAATCTTCCCGCGCGGCGACGGTGTTCCTGCCGCACGCGCCGCAGTCCGTGGCAGCCATCCAAGCCGCCATGCGCGACGGGTTTATGCAGGTACAGAACGCCAAGAAATATTATCCGAAGCAATCTTCATCGGAGACGGTGTTGGTTAATTTCCATCGCATTTGAGTCGCCGCCGCCATAATTGGGTGTGTTCGTATTCGCCTCCTTCGCGCTACACCCCCCCTTCCCCCACCGCTACCATCCACGTGCATTTCGCGTACATTGCAAAATTTAGCCTTATGGTGCTTCGTGTCTTTTCAAAACCCTCGTGTGACCCCTTATTCTAATGATTTGTCTGCTTGAGCTTCTCTCTTCCCCTGCCGTGCGACGGTGTCTACAGGGACAGGCGGGGAGCACCGAGACTCCCCCGCCAACCATGAAAGAGCACACGATGGTGCGCTGAGAGGACAAGCACCCCTTCTCACCCGCGGGAGAGATAAGAGACAGAGAGGATGTATCTAATGGTAGTTGTTACGCACAGGCCACTGTTTCATTCAGGTAGAAAAAGCCATACGTCCTTCCTGTGGACACGACTTGCAAATGCTTTGCGCTTCTTGGCGTATTTGATGCAAATTTAATGCTCGGCTCGCCGACATGAATCATTTTTCAACCCATAGCCCCACAATCAAGCGGTGTGCGCTCTCTGAGTAACTGCGACGCGTGCATGGGCAGATGCGCTTGGCCTCCATTCCGTGTGTCAGCTCAGGGTCATACGGGTTTTGATTGATATGCCGGCCAGATTTTGGATTCCTAGGTCAAGATCGGCATCCATTCGGGGACAGGGGCTTTGACGGGATGGGGACTTTGTCACGTGCATGCACGCGCCTTCGCGTTACAAAGTTCATCAACGCTGAAGCGCGAAGAGCCATGAAACGAGTGTTCTGGTGACATAAAAAATGGACACTTGAATTTCTGTGAGACCTCCCACGCCCACGGGAACGCGAAACAAAAAGTCGCACCACGAGCCACCCTCGACGCTCGTCCTATTGCTGCTGTTGCCAGAAAAATCAACAACGCGTGCACTTCAACAAACAACACAGCGGAGGACCATTCCCATACACGCTATTGAGCCCCTTGGTCTCCTTGCTACCATCATTGCGGAACAAATTTCCCCGACGTATACATGGCGGCCAAGAGAACCCACAGCAGGTGCAGCACCCAAACTGCCACACAAGAGCCCGTTTCTTATTGCAAGCAGCATCTCGTCGCAGACAAGCCTGTACCTAAAATAACCACACCCGAGGCGATGGCGAACGACATCTGATCATCGGTAATCAAGCCACGGCCCATGTACCGGAAAACTAAACTTAGCGCCACGCAGACTGCACAACAGAACCGTGATGTCGCTCGGGCGTTGCCACGACCGCGGAATTGTTCGACGAACAGACACCCAACGCTCGGCGAGATGCTTTGGCGACCACACAGGAGTGGATACGACACGTGCTGTGGGTGATTGGCACACGCGGTCACGACGAAATCACCGGCGACACCGGGGGGAACGGGCGGGTCCGACTCTGAATCTGCGGTGCCCCTTCCGCGTCAAGTTACCCGCTGACAAATAGCCTCTGCATGTGGTGTACCTTTCCTCTCGATCCATCCACATCGACGCCCCGGGGTAGGATAAGAGTTATACGTATTCTACATCGTGGTGGGAAGAATACCCTCTGAGGTCGAAGCGCCTCCCTCATCTATTGACCTTCTCCAGGCGCCGCTCGCGTTCGAGTTTGTTGCTTGCTTGGTAACGGGACAAACACGCACCCCTACTCTACGGCCGTTAGGTCTACTGGACGATGGAAGACACCACTCCGGCACCCACTGTCCTGCCCCCCTCGCGGAGGGCGAACCGAAGCCCCTCTTGCATCACAACTGGACAGATGAGCTGAGAAAACCCATCCATGACCGAGAGAGAGAGAGAGAGAGAGAGAGAGAGAGAGAGAG